AGAAGGAGCAACGCGCTGACCCAGCCTCCTGGGACTCTCCCAGCCCCAGAGGTCCCCCCAGCTCTGCCTCACGGGCACACGGGGAAGTCAGTAGAATTAGCCCAGGGTGGAAAAGGCAAATCTGAACTCAAATCTCAACACCACCACAAGAACTCAAGTCTCTCAGCTCTGCCACCTACCAGCTGTGGGACCTTAGGAAAACTGTCTCACCTTCCTGCCTCCAGTGTTGTTTTGAGGCTCAAGGAGGGGCAGAAGCCCTCGATTTTCAGCGGCCCTTGCGGTTTCGGAAGGTTTCCCTTCCCATCCTCTTGGCAAGACCCCGATCAGAGCCCTGGAGAGGCACACCGGACAGCCCTCCCACCAGTCCTGGCCAAGCCCGGGCTCCAGCAGGAAGCCACGCCCACCTTGGGCATCAGCATAGATCTGGAGGACGTGGGCATGTGAGGGGGTGGTTGGTGATGCCTGCAGCCAGCGCCGGAACCAGGGGAGAGCTGTGGGTCCCACACCAGCGTCCCTCTGCCCTGGAAGGGAGAGGGGATATGCAGATTCTTTGGCTGAGCAGATACCTGGGGGTGCCCCCAGGGGTCCACAGCCCATCCCCCAGAAATCCAGGGCAGGCCTGCCAGGCTGCAAGGACCCAAAGGATGGAAATGCATGTGCTGAGGGTAAAGTGCTCAAATTCATGGACTTCTAGGAGAGGCTAGGAGATGGGGCAGTGCACGTGAAGCGCCCATGCTGAGGCCTCCTGAAGAAGGTGGACAGCAAGTCCTGGGAGGCGGGGACCTGGCCTGGCCTTCAGTGGGGAGGGGATGGGCAGGCCCCACTTACCCCCGCGGCAAGCCTGAAGCAGGAAGATCTTGGGGCAGCCCCACAGGGCCCTGCAGCGGCTCAGCTCCTGCACCAGCGCCTCTGGCTGGACCTCCTGCCCGTCAGCTCCCAGCAGCTGGCCCTGTGGCCCCCCATGGGCCATGAGGGCCACAAGGGCACAGCTCACTGGGACCCTGCGGGCATCTAGGCCCTCTCGGAACTGGGCCATCTCCTCCCGGAAAGCCTGGAGTGGGGATAAGATGGAGGCCTGGGCCCAGGCTTTGTCCTCCCCAGTGCCTGATAGCCCTCCAGAGAGGTTTGTCCAGTCCCTGCCCACCCTACTTCCCACCTCCTGCCAGCCTCAGGCCCACAGAGAAAGTCCTTTTTCTAACTCCCCCGCCCGCCCACTGCAAACCTGGCATGGCCTAATTGGAAGAATCATGTGGTCTAGCCTCTTGCAGCTGGGTCTTTGGCCAGGGCAGGGAAAATGCCCCACAAAGGAAAGAGGCGTGAGGGGAGAGCAATGAGCTGACAGGTGTCTGGGAAGGAAGCTGAGACCCTCGAAGGAAAAGCTGGAGGGTCCCGCTGGGGCCTGGAGCAGAGGAGTGGAGAAGCAGCGGGGGACGCCGCCAGAGCCCGGGAGACAAGCTCCCCACACGTGCAGCAGGAAGGATGGAAGCCAGAGCCGGTGAGAAGCCCTGCAGAGAGTCGCTCGGCTCCTGGGGTGGCGGGGGGAGCTTCCTTCAGAGCCTCACCAGAGCTCTGGACTTCACCTCACCTGGGCCGTAGGGTCTGTCCTTAGGGTGGTCTTGAAGTTCAGGGCCTGACACAGGCCCCCCAGCGCCTCCACATCATGCTGGGCCCCAGGCCGGCCATGGATCACGGATAGCAGGAGGGCAGCTCCGGTCCCGGACAGGTCATACTGAGCGCTGGGGCTGGGTTCTGGCTACAGACAAGTGAAGGAGCATTCAGAGTGGTCTGAGAACCTCCCAGCTCCTCACATCCCCCCATCTCAGGTCTCCCCAAGCCTCTGTCCCGCTCACATCTGTCACATCATTCACCCCACCCCGTGCCCCTCACCTGGGGCTCCCAGGGTTCCACATCCCCCAGGCACAGTGCACCCCTCAAGGAGCTCCGGAGGACTGGGCAGTAGGAGGCCTCTGACTCTTTGGCTGTCCTGTAGAAGACCTGGGGGGACCAGAGAACCCCTAGGGGGCTGCTCCATGGGGGCACAGTTTGGGGAGGGAAAAGGGCACTGGCTTCAGGGAACAACCTGCCTAGCTTGTGGCTACCGCAGTCTCTTTGGGGTCCCTGCCAGAACAGAGGAAGGACACAGGCAAAAAAATGGGAGAGCATGAAGGGGATGTCCTAGTTCATGTTCAATGTCATGGGTTTCTCTGGACATGGATGTCCTTAAGTGGATCCTGGCCATGCCATTAACCACACCACGCCCCACCCCAGGGATCAGTGTGCACAGAGCTGGGCGCTTCCTAGAGCAGGCTGGGGCCTGTTTGGGAAGGTTCACAGGGTAGCTACTGCCTGGGGAGGACACCAGGCTGGGGAAAGCTGCAGCCCACCCTTCACCTCCAGGGTCACCAGTGGCCACCCAAGTGCCCAGTGAGACTGTTGGGGCTCCAGCCCAGCCCAGAACTGGATCATTCACCACTCTGACTTCCAGGGACCTGCAGTCTGACAGACAGTCACCGTCTGTCTGTGTGAGTATGAACAGGGCTGGGTAGAAGCAGAGGCGCAGACTGGAGGAAACCAAGGAAGGGCATCAGTGACAGCCTGGTAGGGAACGTGTGAGGCTGGCTGGGACAACAGGAGGGCAAGCCAGGGGGAGTGGTGTGGGCAAAGGTGCGAGCTGAGAAGCGGCTGGGAGTGTCAGGAATCCTGAGTAGGCTGTGAGCAGGGGCATGGGTGGGGCAGGAGGCAAGGGCTCCAGAATGATACCACATGCATAGACAATAAAGATTCAACTGTAAAACGGGGGGGGGGGGGGGGGCGTGTGAATGACTTGAACCGCCAAGCAGGGTCAGGAGAGCACAGCAGAGCCTGGGGAAGTGATTGGCACGGACCCCCTCCCAGGGATTCCCCATCTGGAGCCCTTACCTCCGTCAGCAGCTGCAGCAGAGACCAGTGAGGAAATCGGCCACAGAGCTGGCTCAGGCCAGCGAGGAAGGCTCCGGGCTCAGGGGCAGCTGGGTGTTGAAATGGTACATGGGCCTGGAGGGTAGAGCTCGCCCCTCCTGCCCACCCCCACCCCTACTTTGTGCCGTCCCAAAACCGGTTTCCCTGCCCAGCCCACTCACCCCCAGGAGTCGTCGAGAGCAGCAGGAAAACTTTGGGGCAGCCCCACAGGGCCCTGCAGCGGCTCAGCTCCCAGACCAACTGCTGGGGCTGCCTCAGCTGCCCACGGGGGGCCACCAAGGCCACGAGGGCACAGCCCACAGGGCCCCCAAGGGCATCCAGCTGCTCCCGGAACCCAACCAGCTCCTCGAGGAAGCCCTAGGACAAAAGCAAAAGCCTGAGTCCAAGGAGGCCCCCGGGTGGGCCTAGGGGTGGGTGCTGGGATGAGGGTGAGGTCAGAGGCGGGTGAGGACTCACCTAGACAGAGGCCTCCCTCTTCTGGCAGCTCTCAAAGCCCAGGGTCCGGAACACACCCTCCAGGACAGCAACAGTGGAGGCTAACACCCCAGGGCTGCTGAGTGTCAGAGCCACCCTGGGACCCTGCAGGCCGTACTTCCCCTGGGGAAGCAAGGGCAGAGTTGGGCTGAGGCAGGGCTCAGCTGAAAGCCAGGAATGGGCTGGGCCAGGCAGTGCCTCCCACTACCTTTCTTTCCAGACTCTGTCTAGCATCTGCCATCTGCGAGGCCACCTGCAGGGTCCCAGCCACCAGGAAGGCCATGGGGGCTGGGTGGGGGCTTCCTCTGAGCACCAAGTGTACCCCCTGCCCCTGGTGCTGATGCCCCAGATCCCAAAACTTGTCCTTTCCCTGAGCCCTTGTCCTATTAGCTCTGTTTATGAGCTGAGCTGGACTCTGCTCCTTCCCTGGAACTCTAGGCCATAGGCCCCACTGCCTCAGTCCCCGTACTGTTCTCTGGCTCCAGCGGGCTACTTCCTGGCTGGCACTGGCACACCCCCACCTGAGCCAGGAGCCTATGCCCAATCTTATTCTTAGCTCTCGGCCCACCTCCTATCTGATCCTGTTACACAGGAGTGTCTCCCTTCTGAGCCAGCCACCAGCACCGAGAAGTCCACGCATGGCTCTCACCGCCCCCCCCACTCCTGCACACCACCCACGCCACCCGCACACGTGCACATGGCAGCCTTGAGCTCAAGGGTACGGGGAGAGGTAGCGCGTGCTGTCTCACAGGCAGAAACCCCCACTGGAGTCATCTGTCCACAGAGGGGCCCCAGGTGCTTCATCTGGGGAGTCCGGTCCATCACAGCGAGCTCAAGATGAAGCAAGTATTAAATGGGGGATTGGCTGAGGAAGGGCCCTGGGGCGGGAGAGGCTGGCACACAGACTAGGGGACGGAACGTTCTGTCGCTGTCTACTCCCACTACTCTTCAGGCGGCCTGCCGAGGCTACTACCAGGCCAACTGGGAAGGGCTCTATGGGGGCAGGAGGCCCCCTGACCATGCATCCACTAGTTCTGCGCAGGCTCCAGGCGGGGGGAACTCAGCAGGGGAGGGGTCAAATGTCAAGGGCTGGGTGGGGAATGGGGCCCATTCTGACAGCTGTCCTCTCCCGCTAAGGGATCTGAGCACCGGGAATACCTTGGAGTTCTGGATCCCCTTTAACAGCCAGAGCACACCGTGCCGCCCACCCCAGTCACCTCGCACCCAAGCCTATTTCTTCAGATTGCCATTGAGGAGAAAGGGAGCGGCCCGGTGAAGACCTGCTCAGCTCTCCTGTTGTCCTGCCAGGGTGGCGAGGGGTGTCACCAGCTGTCCCATCCTGAGCTGCCCCCGGTCCTTGGCTGACACAAGCTGATCAGAGTCCTGAGACTCCCGCCGGTACTTTGGGGCCCAGACAACCTGGAAGCCAAGAATGGGTCTCCACCAGGCGACCACCCCACACCAGGGCCACTGACACCCCCAAACCGGGAGCCGGAGAGGTGTGAATTCCAGGACCCCTGCCCAGCAACCACACAAAGAACAGATCAGCCTAAAGAAAGATTCCGTTATTTATTCAACGTCCTCTGCTGCCTGCCCTTTGGAGACCAGCAGAGCCGAGCTCCTTCAGAGAGCCCGTGGTGGGTCCCTGCTGTCGCCTATCTGCAGACACTGTGGCCAGCAGCACGGAATGCAGTGCTTAGGGAGTCAGCGACTGAGCGCTAACAGAGTGCTAGTGTTAAGTATCACGAACCCCACACCTCTGGAGAGGGGGGCCGCCAGGGGCAGCCAGCCTCCAGCAGCCCTGTCCTTGGTCTTCAGTGTGGGCCTCCCATCCCTGGAGCCGCCACCACCCTCACCAGACTGGCGGGGGAGTGCGCTCAGGAACTTGCTTGGGGGCAAGTAGGCTAAGAGCAGAGGCAGTTGGTTGCCATTCAGGGCCCAACGGTCAGGGCCTAGAAATGGGAGGGGATGTGGCTGGAAAGCCCCCTGTGGCCATACCCAGGACCCAGATCCTCCCCAGGATGGGCTGTCCCTCCCAGAGCCCAGCAGCATCCCGCAGGTCATGGCCTGTCCTCCACACCCACTTCAAGGCACAGCTTGGAAGGGCAGAGGGCCAGGCCCACAGACTCAGCCCACGGGGCAAGGAACAAAGAGCCACAGGGGCAAGCAAGGCTGGTGGGGGGGGGGGGTTAGGGCAGTGCGGAGGACCCCAGGCCCTGCCCCAGTCCTCACACTTCCCTGATGGCGCAGCCTGTCTCCCACGCAGAGGCCACAGGCCAGGAATGTGCTGCAGCCCCAGGAAAGAAGAAGGAAAATGGCCATGAGGTGCGGGGGCTTCCCACTCCGTGGGAGCGGGGGCCAGGCCCTAGGGCAGGGCGGGCAGCCCGGATGGAGGCCACAGAGGGAGGGTGAAGCCCAGGAGGCCTGCGGTGGCTGCTTCACCCTCAGGAGATCCCCCCCACCCCCACCCCTGGCCCTCGCCAGCCCTTAGCCCACAGGCTGGGCCATCTTGGCGTGCAGGCTCTGGTGGGCGATGAGGTGGGCTCGCTGCTTGAAGCTCTTGTCGCACTCGCCGCAGCCGAAGGGCCGCTCGCCAGTGTGCACGCGCCGGTGGTCCAGCAGGTAGGAGCGCAGTGAGAAGCTCTTGCCGCACTCGCTGCAGCCGAAGGGCTTCTCGCCCGTGTGGATGCGCTGGTGGTCGGCCAGGTAGGCGCTGCGGCTGAAGCTCTTGCCGCACTGGGAGCAGGAGAAGGGCTTCTGGCCCGTGTGCACGCCCTGGTGGCGCAGCAGGTCCGACGAGCTGCGGAAGCTCTTCTCGCATGCCTGGCACTTGTGCGGCTTCTCGCCAGTATGCGTGCGCTGGTGGCGCGCCAGGTCCGAGCCCCAGCGGAAGCGCTTGCCGCACTGACCGCAGCTGTGCGGCTTCTCCGCCTCCAGGTCCCGCAGCTGCCGCCGGCGCGCGGGCGGCCGCCCCCTCCGTGCCCCCACCGCGCGGCCCAGGGGCGCCCCCGGCCGGGCCTCGCCCTCCCAAGCCTCGGCTTCCTCAGGGCTCCAGGAGGCAGTCACGTCACTGTGGCCGGTACCACAGCCACCGTCTCCGGCCTGGCCCCTCGGTGCCGTCACCGACTCCTCCAGCCCGGGTTGCTCCCTGTGGCTCCGGAGCCCCAAACCTGCAAGCCGAGAGGGGGCAGCCTCTTCAGTTCCACTGGGTTCTGGCACCAGAGCTGGGGCGAGGCAGAAACAGGACTCAGGTCCAGAAAGCCCTGGGCTGCACAGACCCCAGCCTCAGTTTCCCCGCCATAAAATAGGGACACAACAAAATGGCCACGGAGAAACACTTCTGAGGCAGAGGCAAGGGGATCCAGCCGGGCCGATCCTGCCTGCCTAGATGCCTACTAATCACACGCCCAGCCTTCCACAGCCATATCCACACTGGCACCCCACGTCCCACGCTCTGAACCTTGGCTATTCAAGCGCTGAAACAATAAATTCAGGCAATTTGTAAATTACCCAAACCCTCAATATTTCTTACCAGAAACTAAGAAGCCACATGGGTTCAGCCTAGGTGGCTACTCACATTCCACAAGCTCTTATCCCCTAAAATCAACAACAGATTTGCACAGAGAATGATCCTAGCCCGCCCGCTGGGTCATGCGGATTCCATGAGATAACCCCCAAACAGGGCTCAGAAAGGCTCTAGCGGGGACAGGAGCTCCAGGAGGGCGGCCTCCGAAGAGCAGGGCCCAGGCCTGGGCACATGGACGCTCGGTGCTCCTACTGTCAGCCCCTCTTCGTGGGCTTTCATAAGGACAGTCCCAGCTCAGTCCCTTCAGTGTCCATTGACGTGAGATCCCTTGTGTGTGACCCACGACCACACTTCTGTGCAGCCAAGTGGTGAGAATTGCAGGAAAATGCCCACACGAGAGCTCAGCACAGTGCTGACGCGGGGCGAGCACCCACCATATGGAAACACACACTCACAGGCCGAGAAAAAGGAACACTGACAAGAAGGGAAAATCACCCAGGGCTCTTGAAAAGACCCAGCGAAAGCCACTTTCCAGCCAGCTAAGGAGGAGGTGGGAAGACTGAGGATTCCAACAGGAACATAACGCGGGTGTATGGCCTGCCCACCCCCACCCTCTGTCACCGGGACCCCCCACGACGGCTGCTGCTTCTAGTTCAGAGGAGCCAAGGACCCCAAGGGTCCAGTCTGCACCACTGCTTACCCAGGGCAACATTCTGGGAGTTCTCTCGCTTTATGTCCCAAAAGAATTCCCTCTGAGCAGGGTCCAGAGAGCCCCATTCTTCCCGGGAGAAATAGAAGGGAATGTCTCCAAATGTCACAGGTCCCTAGAATGAGGTCAGAAACAGAAACAAAAACAAACCACCTGGCTCAGAACTGTCACTCTGGAGCACCCCTGGGGATGGGGGACAGGATGGGTCCAAGCAGAGCTAGGAGAGATGGGAGAGGCCTTGATGAAAAGACAAGGTCCATTTTAGGGACTCAAGATGGCAACGAGGGCCTCAGAGGGGACAAACGGACTGGTAACTCACGTGGGCCTCAGAGGCAAAGCAGGTGTCGGCTGTCTCTCTGGTTCTCCCTTCTTTAAGAGCGGGAAGCTGGGCTGAAGAAGAACAGAGGCTCACAGACGCCAGCCCGGGCCAGGAGTGAGATCTCACACGTGTACATGCACATGCATCCCTAGGCTTTCTGGAACAGAAATACCCTTCCTGCTACCCTCAGCGCAAGGCTCGGGAAGGAGCCAGGCCCCTGCCCAGCAATCTGGGGCCTACAAGCTTACTTACCACCATAGCTGCGCTGCTCCCAAGGTGCAGGTGGCCAGCTTCGCGCCCCCACCTTCATGCGAAGCCCCCTGGCCTGGGGTCCCTGGACCGTAGCCTCGGGTTCCACCTCCTCTGAGGGCACTTCCTGTGCGGGGACCACAACATGCTCATCAACACCGAGACTGGACGGGGGAGACAGAGCTTAATCCCTGGGAAGGAGACACAGGACATGTCCCTCAGGACATGGGGAAGGAGATCCACATGGGGTCCCAGAAAAATCCATGGGAGAAGGTGACACCAGGCAGTGCTGTGTGCCCAATCAAGCACGAGGCAAGAAGAGCTCCCCAAAGCCAAATCACAGAGACCCTGAGTACAGGGGTGTGGGGGCAGACCTCTACAGCCAGGGCGGAACACCACACCCCAGCCACTCATTAGCACCTTCCCCAAGGTCAAGAATCCAACACCCCTCAGAGAGCAGGGTTCACACGGACAGCTGCCTTCTCGTACCCACTCTGCTGCTCTCATTACACATGACTATATCCCCAGGGCCTGGACTAAAGCAGAACACTGTATTTGTAGAACCAGCGTGGAGCTCACACCGCCCTCCTGGAGCGTACCCACTTTGGTCCTATTGGGACCACCCTCCAAAGCCACCAAAAAGAAACCAGATTCATTTGGACAGTGTCTTTCAGAAAGGCAACACCTGCATGACACGCTCCTGTTGCTGCTTCCTCTGGCTCTGCATCACCACCACCCCTGGAGGACTTGTTTCTCCGGAGACGGCCCCCGCTCTGTGGCCAGGTGCCAGCCGGGGCCGGCTTACCTGCGGCCGTGCTTTCACTGGCTGCTTCCGCAGGACCTCCACCAAGGCAACGGCCTCCTCTCCACTCCCTGGACACTGCTCTCGGACCCAGCCCTGGACGCCTCCGGGCAGCACGCTCAGGAACTGCTCCAGCACCAGCAGCTCCAGGATCTGCTCCTTGGTGCGCAGCTCTGGCCGCAGCCAGCGGCAGCAGAGCTCCCAGAGCTGGCTGAAGGCCTCATGGGGCCCGCCCACATCCCTGTAGCAAAAGTGCCGAAAGCGCTGGCGACAGGCCTCGGAGTCCCTGCTATCCTCTTGCCGGGCAGAGTCCTGCTCCCAGGAGGAATCTTCCACCTTGACGATCAGCAGCCCCTCTCCCTCCCCAGGGGCCTCATCCTGAGGCTCTGGGGGTGCTGCCATTCCCCTGGTCTAAAGCTCAGGACTGGCCGGCCTCAACCTGGGCCTGGGAGCCTGCCCTTCAGTCTCCCAGAGGGATCCCCTGTGGCAGCTGGGTGGGCATCTGGACAGGTACTCCTAGGAAAAGAGCAAAAGGCGGGGGTCAGGGGGGAATACAAGAGCAAACACCAGCCAGCCTGCTCCTGTCCTCTCCTGGCTCTGAAGTCTTCTTTAGGCCTTGCTCATGTGATTCTCTGTGCTACCAACACATGTCTACAGACCCTTATCCTCGGCTTTGAGATCCAAAACTCCCAGGTGTTCACTACCTGGCCTACTGATGTGACCACATTCATAATCTCCACTTATCTCCCTCAAGGTAAATGTTTGTATATCTTACAGCAAAAATATTTATGTATCTCTTCAGCTTGTAAATATTCGCCAAGTTGTACTTACCATGTATTTCTGTATGTGTATTACACTTCAGTAAAAAATGGAATTAACACATTGGATGACTGAGTGTTGCTGTAGGCTCCTCTGGTGAGGTTGCTTGATATACCATGTGTGCTAGATTACCTTCCTAGAATCTGAAAACTTCTGAATTCCAAAACATCTTGGCCCTGGGGTGTCGGCAAAGAGCTCACAGACACCAGGCTAAGCCATTTATCCACAGGTACATACGAATGAATGACACATATTTATACCTTCCATAGATACTCCCAGATAGCCCTGAAAAGTATATATTTTGAAATTTTCCTCAATTGCTCTTTTGTTTCAACAAAAAAGTGACACAGAGCATTATAATAAAAAGTGGGGGATTTAAACAACACAGAAACATAAAATAGAAGCTCCCTTCCAAAGGCAGTTGCACACCCCCACCCCCATTAACAGTATGACATGTGACCTCCTGGACTTTTCCTTGTCCATTTACTGGAAATGTATCCATAGGAACGGAGAAAACCAAGTGGTTCTGTGTGCTTACAGACATGAGGTCTTACTGCACTTACTATTTTGTATCTTGCTTTTCCACCTAACAATGTTTCTTCATTAGCCGCTCTGGGAGATTCCAAGGTGTGAATGCGCTCCAGGTTCTTACCCAAGCGAGGCACCCAGCTTGTTTCCAGTCCTTCTCCACTACACACTAAGCACTTTATTTACTTTATTCTCCTACTCCTCACAACACCCCTTAAAAGTACGCGCTCCATTCTCATCCTCCAGTGACCGAGGAGAAGGCTCCTTTCGGAGAGGGCCCGGGACTCACCAGGGTCGCTCGGCAGGACGCGGCGGGAGGGAACGCGGACCGGCCGGAGCCCGGCGCTCCGACCCCAGCAACCTCGCCAGCGCGCAGCTGAGAGGCGACGGGCGGGCAAGGCGAGCGCAAGCAACCCCACCCCCGGCGCTTCCTAGCAGCGCGCGCCCCCTTCGGCCTCTGTCTCGGTGCTCCGGCCCCTGCCGCCAGGAGCCCCTCGCTCGACCTCGTAGCCCCGCAGCCCGCGTCGCCGGTCCCGCCCCCGAGATACACACCGCCCACAACTGCCCAGAGGTTCCTAGTTCCGTCGCCAGGTTCTTGCGACGGAAGTTCGCGCGGGGCTCGCCGGGAAACGACAAGGCGCATGCGCCGTAAGAAGCACTCGAACTACACGCCCCAGAAAGCCCTTCGCCCATTGAGTCCGCCTTCTTCCTGACGGATAGCCAATGAACGGGGAGAATTCCCAGAGTTGGCCAATCAGGAGGTAGCAGCGCCCACCTATGTCCCCGAGCTGAGGTCAGCTTCTAAACTCGTATTTTCCTATTTCTCTACCCTCCCCCGGTCGGTGAAAGGAGAAAAGGGAAAGCCATGGCTGGTCTGGTGGGCCGAGAAGGCATCTGGCCCAGCCACGAGTTGAATGCGCGTGGCTCGGCTCCGGGGTACTCCTCTCCAGCCTCTTGGGTCCCGTCCTCGCCGAAGTCGTTAGCCGCGCCTAGCGGGGCGTGGAGCTTCTTGGGAAATGCAGTCCCGCGAGGGACGCGGAGCCTCCTGCGGCGATCTTCGCACCCGAGCCTCGGCGGGGGTGTTGTGGCAGTACGCCACACGCGGTCACCCTGATCCCAGGGAGCCCCCCGGTCTCCCACCAGCAGCTTCGTCTGCGGGGCGGTGGGGGAGCTCTGGGTTCTCCTTCCCATGCATTTGTACCTGCTCCCACACTCTTACTTCTCTACCTGGAGATCTAAGGCTGTATTTCTATATAAGGCTATCTTATTTATACCTATCTATATATAGATATATATGAGGCTATATATATCTGTATTTCCTGAAATATAAAGCGGTGTCTTTTGATTTGATTATGCAAGTATTGCATGCCTAGTGTAGAAAAAATTAAGTACGGAAAATTATAAAGCTATCTGTATCCACAAACTAGCACCCTCGATGTGCTCAAATGTCGCTCCCTCCAACTGGCTTTCCCTAAGCCTATTTGAACAGCCTCCCGCCATGCTTCTGCCCTACCTTATTTTTCTCTTTTATCACTCCCTGACATACTTGTGTAATATCTGTCCCCCAATACTGGGCTATAAACTCCGTGAGGTCAGCGTTTTCACTGCCCTACTCCTAGCATCTGGATTTGTGCCTGGCACAGTATTTGCTGACTAACTGAAGGCAACAATAACTGGAGGTAAAAATATATTCCTATTAAGGCCATTCAAAAGTGAGCATTATTAATATTTTAGTCTGTTTTTACACTTCTACCTCTATGAATATTTCTAGTGTAATTTTGGAATAATTCTATGGTAAGTAATGTTTTGTTGACACAAAAGTCTATCAAGGATATCTCTATGGCTCCTGGGTCTCCCTTCAGTCAGATCATGATCCCAGAGTCCTGGAATTGAGCCCTATGTTGGGCTATCTGCACAGCGGGGAGTCTGCTTCTTCCTCTGCCTCTGCCTGCCACTCCCCCTGCTTGTGCTCTCTTTGCCAAATAAAATGTTTTTTATTTACTGCAAGGGGAGCAGTAGAGGAAGAGGGAGAAGCAGGGTCCCCACTGAGCAGGGAGCCCAATGCAGGGCTCAATTCCAGGACCCCGGGCTCATGACCTGAACTGAAGGCAGACGCTAACCATCTGAGCCACCCAGGAGCCCCAATAAATAAAATAAAAATGGTATCTTTCTGTATCAGCATGTACAAATAAAATGCAACTGTTTTGCAGGCTGCATAGTATTCCATAGTATCGACGTTCCAAATTTTATTTTATTATTATTATTTTTTTGAAGACTAGGGACGCCTGGGTGGCTCAGTTGGTTGAGCCGCTGCCTTTGGCTCAGGTCATGATCCCAGCGTCCTGGTATCGAGTCCCGCATCGGGCTCCTTGCTCTGCGGGGAGCCTGCTTCTTCCTCTGCCACTCTGTCTGCCTGTGCTCTCTCTCTCTCTCTCTCTCTCTCTCTGACAAATAAATAAAATCTTTTTTTTTAAGAAGACTTTATTTACTTGTCAGAGAGAGAGTGAACAAGCAGACAGAGTGGCAGGAAGAGGCAGAGAGATCCGCGCTCCCGGCTGAGCAAGGAGCCCAATTTAGGACTCAAGCCCAAGAGCCTAGGATCATGACCTGAGCCAAAGGTAGCTGCTTAACTGAGTCACCCAGGCGTCCCCCAAATTTTATTTAAAGTTCCTTACTCTGGGTCATTTCCAGTTTCCTGTATTTGCAAGTCATTTATACAAACACCCACCTTCCAGCATCTGCTTTAACAATTTGCTGGAGGGCGTGAGTCAAGACGGTTCCGAGACCACTGCTGAAGTGGATGCTCCTACGCTCCCTCTGCTGGTCCCCTGGAAAACTGCACTGAAAAAAAGGAACTTGAAAGTCCCTTTTTAACGAGGTCTGGACTTAGAGCGTTCTTCTGTCGCCCTCTATTGGCAAAGGCTAACATCAAGTTGGCTGGCAAACGAGAAAGGCTTTAGTACCACAAAGCGGGAAAAATGTGTGTATTGTGGGCTGAGAAATAATAAATTAATAACTGGCACACTTACCATATATTTTATTGGCCAGTGCCAGTAAATGACAAGTTATTTGCATTCAATTACATGGAAACTGACCACCCAATAGTACTTCTTTTCTTTAGTTTTTTGTTTTTTTTTTCCCCTGAAAGTATTTATTTTTCTAGCTAGGAAATATAATCTATAAATAATGAAAAAGTCTAATTTTTCTTTCTGGAAAATTTATATTCATTTCCAGAATTTATACTCATTATTTTCTTAGTACAGAATTCTCTAAACAGTGTAAAAAATTGAGGACAACAGGCATCACTCTCTTGCTTCATGAAGATACTTTTAATGATTTACAATTACTCATTGTGTCTCTGATATATATCCATGCTCATATTAAGGAGCATTTATTCTCCTTTATTCTCATTTATTGCAGCAAAAGAACTACTAGCTGTTCCCTAATATCACTTTTATCCTATAGTAAGAATTTTTCAACGGGCACATAGCCATTCAGAATAAGGAGTAGGGGTGCCTGGGTGGCTTAGTCGGTTAAACTGTCTGCCGTTGACTCAGGTCGTGATCTCGGGGGTCCTGGGATCGAGCCCCATGTAGTGCTTCCCACTCAGCAGGAAGTCTGCTTCTCCCTCTCCCCTGCCCCTCCCTACCCCAGCTTGTTCTTTCTCTCAAATAAAGTCTTTAAAAGAAAAAAAAAAAAAAGAATACGGATTTCCCAGCCTCTCCTGCAGCTAAGCATGGCCATGTAATTAAATTGAAGGTGATGAAATGTGAGCAGACGTGATATATGTATTTTACTAGAAAGGGATGGGTCCTGTCTTCCTATTCTCTTTTTCCCAGGTGCTAATAGGAATTTGGACATAGTGGTGTGGACCATGCAGACTTAAGTAATACCCAGAGGTATCGAAGCAGTAAGACAGAAAGTGCCTGGACTCCTGATGATTGTGGAGCCACAGAACTAGGCCTGGGTTTATACCCAGGCAGTGACGTGAGAAAGAAATAGATACCATGTTTAAACTTCTGCTGTACTGAACATCTATTACAACCAGAGTGTATACCCTAATGAGATTACTGCCTAGTAAGAGGGGTTTTTTTGTTTTTTGTTTTTTTCATTAAAAATAGAATACAGCGGTGCCTGGGTGGCTCAGTGGGTTGGGCCTTTGCCTTTGGCTCAGGTCATGATCCCAGGATCCTTGGATGGAGCTCTGAGTCAGCCTCCCAGCTAAGCAGGAAGTCTACTTCTCCCCCTCACTTTGTCCTCCACCCCCCCACACACAGTGTGCTCTCTCTCAAATGAATAAACGCAATTTTGATAAAAATAAAGCAAAAAAAGAACATAAGGAGCACTGCATGGGCTCAGTCAGTTGAGTGACCAATTCTTGGTTTTGGCTCTGGTCCTGATCATAGCATTGTGAAATCAGCACAGCATCGGTCTCCGTGCTTGGCATGGAGTCTGCTTGGGATTCTCTGTCTCCCTCTGCCCCTTCCACTTGTGCTCACTCTTTCTCTCTCTTAAATAAATAAGCTTTAAGGGGTGCCTGGGTGGCTCAGTGGGTTAAAGCCTCTGCTTTCGGCTCAGGTCATGATCCCAGGGTCCTGGGATAGAGCCCCACATCGGGCTCTCTGCTCACAGGGAGCCTGCTTCCCCCTCTCTCTCTGCCTGCCTTTCTGCCTACTTGTGATCTCTCTCTGTCAAATAAATAAATAAAATCTTTTAAAAAATAAAATAAATAAGCTTTAAAATATAGAGCATAGGGGCGCCTGGGTGACTCAGTCGTTAAGTGTCTGCCTTCAGCTCAGGTCATGATTCCAGGATCCTGGGACTGAGCCCCACATTGGGCTTCCTGCTTGGTGGGAAGCCTGCTTCTCCCTCTCCCACTCCCTCTGCTTGTGTTCCCTCTCTCGCTGTGTCTCTCTCTGTCAAATAAATAAATAAAATCTTTTAAAAAACAGAACATAAAAGTAATTATTTTTATAATTTCTCTCGTGGGATATTAGATATTCAGAATTTCCTTGTCATCCTGACTACACTTTGGTAGTTTCACTTTTCTAGGAAATCATCCCTTTCATCTACAACTTCAGACTTATTGAGATAAAGTTGTACATAGTATTCCCATTTGGTTTACATTTAAAAAACCAGCATGTATGAAAATCCTACTCCTTGTTTTGGGATTATGAGATAGCATTTGAATGGTGGTGCAGCAGCAGGCTAGGAAGAGCCAGGGTCCCTGTTGACTTTGTGGGTTCGGGCTGCCACACCAGTTCCACCACAAGCTGCCTAGCTCTCTAATATTTGTAGTGGAACTGAATCCTGATTCACTGCCTCACAGGGTTGCTATAAGGATTATGTAAACGAGCCCAGCACTAACTCTTACACGCAGGAAAAGCTCAGTAGTGAGTGCTTAGTCCCAGGGAGCAAGGCATCGCCAGGAACCGGTCACAGGGACATGCCCACAGGAGCATATGGTATAGGAGAGGTGGTGGGATTTAGGCCCTCCAGGCACTTTTTCCACTTTCCCCTGAACATCTGAGCCCAACTTGTTCTGGTCAGTGGCCGGTTGGATGGTAGTATTAATCTTCATGATTGGCCTGGAACTTTCTTAGCTGAAAACAGAAAAACTGGGGTCCTCTAGGAGGTGACAGAGGTGCAGGCCACGGAGTGCTGTCTTTGCAACCCAGGCAAGAAAACCTGACGGCCACACATCACAGGCTGGCAAAGGATCACGAAGATGAGGAAGGCTGGATCATCTTCATAACCTCCCTTTCTCCACCCTCTGCCCTATACCAAGGAGAAACCTCAGACCACAGCCCCTGGCAAGTCTCACCTTCTAGCACCTTCGGAGCCCCTGCCTGCCTCCTGCAGGCACCTCTCACCTTCCCTCCCACCCACCAGAGGTGTCATGTCAACTCCCGGTATATCAATTTCTTCCTCATGGCAGGGCCTTTATTCATTCTGCTCCCCTTGCTTGGAAGGTTCTGCCCCCAAATCCTTGTAAAACAGTTTTTTTGTCATTCTCCAAGTCGCAGCTGAAATGTTCCCGCCTCGAAGCGGCCCGCTCTGAGAGTCCGTTTCTATCACCCTCCATCGCTTCGCCCGTTCCTTCCTTTCTGGCGTTTTTCTCTACTTGAAAACAACGTGTGTCACTTATCTGCTTATCAGTCTCCCTCACCGGACCAGAAGCTCCTAGGGCAAGGACCTCGTCTGGCTTTGTCATCGCGTATTCCTCAACGTTTGGCAAAGAACCTGGAAGGCAGGCATTCATGTGATAAACGGATGAGTGAAAGCAGCAAAGCCCCACTTCACGTCCCGCCGCCCTTCACCTGCCTCCGCACGCCCCCAGGGCCACCCCCACTCCCCTCGCACTGGCCACCTCCGTTTCCCCAGCTCCTCACCCCTCCAAGAGGACCGCGGTCTCCCTCCCGGCTCTCCCCAGCACCACTGCCGGGCCCTGCTCCGGGGCTCGGAAGGTGCTAGAACGCCGGCGGGAGGTGTCCGCGCGCCCGCCGAGCTCCAGCGCGGCGGCCACAGAGGGCTGCGGGGATCCGGCTCCCGGAGTTCCCAGCCAGCAACCAGACGCCAGTGGGGGCAGCTCGAAACCGGAAGCGGCTCTGGCCGCGGTCCCCCTACCCCCGCCCCTCGCTCGAGTCCCCTCTAGGACCGCAGGAGGCTCGGCATCTCGGTGGTAGGCCCAGGGCAGGCTGCGAAGGCTTAGGGGGTTGGCGGAGTCAGGAGTCCGCCCCGCGTCGTTGGTCCCTTCGGCAACTGCCACCGGGCAGAAGGGAAATCGCACAGCGCCAAAGCGGAGATTTTCGGATGTTGCCGGGCAACCGTGCCGCTTGGGAAGTGACGGGGAGAAAAAGGGTCGTGACTGGAAGTTTCTGCTGGACCCCTCCCCCTTTCCGCCCCGCCCCCTGATTGGCTAAGGGAGGAGCTGGCGGGGCGGGGCCTCCCGGAAAACTTTCCGTCTCTTTGCGAGGCCCCTCAGGGAGGATGGTCCTCTTACGAGCCCCTCTCCAGCATCACCACCTGGCTTCCCCGCGGAGTCACCCAAGTGCGGGAGACGCCCCCGGGCCGGGGAGGGCAGCAGGCCCAGCTGGGCCCTCAGCCGCTGCAGCAAGGACCCGGGCGGTGCCTTGGGCCGCACAGGGAGCGGGTGGGCAGCCCGCGGGGGATATTCTGCGCCTCCTCCCTCGCCCTCGCCCTCCCTCGGACTGCGAAGACTTAGGTGAAGCCTGAGCAGCCAGGTGGGGCCTTCCAAGGCTGAAGCTGGGAGGTCCGGTGTGAGCAGAAGCCGGGAAGAAGAAGGCCAGCGACACCAAGACCCTTCCCTGGCGTCCACCCAGAAGTCAGCTACCTCTCCATCACCCCCCAAGTCACGAACACCCTTCGGCCTCACACTCTAGGCCCTTGCACGACATCTCCACTACCTCCTCTGTCTTAATGGATCTTGCCAAATGTTTCCTAAATTGCCAAGTTCCATTCATAAAATGTTCTCTCCAGCTCTATCCCAGAATGGTCGCCTCTGAGTGGGTCTCTAGGGAGATGTGGACTGAGACCCCCGGGGCCCTTGGAATCTCGTTCCTCTCCACGGTGCTGTGAAAAGAGGAAACGGTTTCTCCAGGTCTCTGAGTTCCTCAGAGGCCAGAGTGGTCTTTAAACGATCTCCTGGCTCACTCCACAGACCTGAATGGCTCAAGTCCTGGCCATAAAAGCCCAAGGAACGGGGCACCTGGGTGGCTCAGTGGGTTAAGCCTCTCCCTTTGGCTCAGGTCATGATCCCAGGGTCCTGGGATTGAGCCCTGCATCGGGCTCTCTGCTCAAAAGGGCGCCTGCTTCCTCCCTGTCTGCCTCTCTGCCTACTTGTGATCTCTCTCCTTCTGTCAAATAAATAAATAAAATCTTAAAAAAAAAAAAAAAAAAAGCCCAAGGAAGCAAATGCATACCCACTGTGCAAATAAGCTAGTACCAAGTTTAGTAAGTGTCCTTTCTGCCTCTTTTCATCAGAAACCAAGCTTCTGGAAGCAGCATGCCTGCTTTAGGTGAACAAGTCCCCCTCAGCCCCTTGCACTAAGCCAAGCTGAGAAATTCCCTTTGAGTGACCAGAGAGCCATGAAGACAAGCTGAAGGGAGGAAATAGCTTTCTTTCTCATGTCTTCAAGAGACATCTAATTCGACCAGTCCAGCCAGCGACCCAGCCCTAGATCTCACTAAGACCTCTCAGGCACAACCAAGTTCTGCATGGGTTCCCACTAGTCAGCAGCTTCCTGGCATCTGGCTGATGGCCTGCTCTCCGACTTGCCAACTTCGGCTGAGTACAGCACCCCTGAAGGTCGAATCAACAATCTGTCTTACCCTTTTTGGACCACCCCACCTCATAACATGCACTAGACAGCCAGTAGCTGTTGCGTGGAAACGGGGGGTATTCTTTACACAATGAAATCCCTGGACGTAAACCCTATCTTGCAGCTCTCTGGTTGTTGGCTAAGTTACTGGAGCTCTCTCTCGGCTGTTTCCTCATCTATAAGACTAGGACAGAGTCCACTTCTCAGAGTTGTGGAGACTAAAAGTGACATACACATGGCACTTGGCCCCTCAACTAGCAGTTATGACTATCATCAGTCCCCTTTCCTGCTCAGGAAAGGGCTGCAGCCACCCTGCCGGCCCCGTGACCCAGGCAGGCAGGTGGAGGCTCAATGGCCTCCCACATGCGGGTGTCCTCAAGCTCAGTCGGTGTCAGAACCAAATGTCATCTTGGGAGCCAACCTGCAAATCCTGGGTAATAAGCAGATTGAGCCCATTCCTCCCCAGGAAAAAAAAGGGAGAGAGAAGAGGAAACAGAAGTACAGAGATCAAAAAGCAGAAGGCCAAGAGTAAAAGAGCCAGACAGGGGCAGGTAGGGCAAATCATAAAGCACATGTACAAAGAGGCCAAGGAGGTGAAAAGTAGCAGAGAGAGCTGGGAGCAGCATCAGAAGGCACCAAGGAGGGACAGTGGTCCCTGGCAAAGGGAGGAATCCTCACTGAATTACAGCTGGGCCCCAGTAGAAATGCATGGAAAATGTCCAGTCACAAAACAGGCGTCCAGTGCCTGAGACAGGAGACAGGGAGGGCGGCAGAGCATGAGTTCCCAGCTGGCTCAGGTCTGCTCCAGCTCCCAAACCGAAGAGCAGAGAGAGGGTGCTGGGCTCAGTGGGCCATGCCCCTGGGACAAGAGTGATGGCAGCAACGGCAGCAGACCACCCCTCCACGCAGATCCACGGTCTCACAACTGGCTGGCTGGCTTCAGGTTTGGAAACCTCTCTGTGCCCAGAAGCCTTTGCTCGTTGACTTCGGCTCCGGGTGCTCTGGACTGGCCCTAAGTCCGGTCAAGGCCGGGAAGAAGAGTACCCAAGCCCCCACGACAATGACTCAGGGATGCCTCAGCCACGCTCACCACCAGGGCCCCACGAGACCGAGCACAAGCGGTGGGTGGAATTCCAAGGCCTTTAATTCATAGCCAGCGTGCCCGCGCCTCGCCCTAGCTCCTGTGTTGCCATGCCCCACCCCATGCCAGCACCCCCCACTCCCTTCCCACAACCCCTCTCACGCTGCCCTTGAGCATTCCCCTCCCCCCTCCACCTCCTAAGTGGGAGCAGGCGGGGGTGCGGCCAGAGCCCCCGCCGCCCCCAGCATCAGCATGGCCAGGGCCTTGGGCCCCGTCGTGTGGATCTTCTCGTGCCGGTGCAGGTTGGAGCGGCGGCTGAAGCTCTTGCCACAGAGGGGGCAGGAGTAGGGCCGGACGCCGCGGTGGGTGCGCTGGTGGGCAGTGAGGTGGGAGCTGTGGCTGAAGCTCTTGCCACAGTCGAGGCAGTGGTAGGGCTTCTCGCCCGTGTGCGTGCGGTTGTGCGCGATGAGGTTGGAGCGCTGGCTGAAGCACTTGCCGCACTCGGGGCACGGGTAGGGCTTGACCCCGGTGTGCGTGCGCTGGTGGGTGACCAGGGCCGAGCTCTGCGTGAAGCACTTGCTGCAGACGGGGCACTTGTGGGGCTTGGCGCCTGTGTGCGTGCCCTGGTGGGTGACCAGGTCCGAGCGGCGGGTGAAGCGCTTGGCGCAACGGTCGCACACGTAGGGCTTCTCGCCCGTGTGGATGCGCTGATGCTGGATCAGCGTCGAGTGGTGGCTGAAGCTCTTCCAGCAGGAGGGGCAGGTGTAGGGCTTCTCGCCCGTGTGGATGATCTGGTGCTGGATGAGGTGCGAGCTGCGGCCGAAGCGCTTGCCGCAGTCTGTGCAGGTGTAGGGCTTCTCGCCCGTGTGCGTGCGCCGGTGGGTCACCAGGTGCGAGTGCCAGCTGAAGGCCTTGCCGCACTGCTCGCACTTGTACGTCTTCTTGCCAGCGTCACCGTCGGGGACCAGGCCCTCCTCACCACTCTCAGGGGGGCCCACCCGCCCCTCTCTGGCTTTCTCTGCGAGGCTGGCATTGGGTGGCGCCAGTTTTGCCGGCATCTCCTGCAGGGGACCCGGCTGCCCACCGTCTCTGGCTGGCCCTGAGCTCTGGCCACTGCCAGCTTGCTGCCCGCACGGCAAGACGTCTCCCGGGGCTCTCCCCACCCTGCTTCTGGAAGCCTTCGCATCCCCCAGGGCTGCCAGGGATGGGGCTGGCTCCTCCTTGCCCGCCTCAATGGCTCCTGGAGAAAGAGTTTCCATCAAGACAGAAAGACTTCTGTGAGGGACCCAGGGGAATTCAGGAAAGGAAGGTAAGAGCGAGGACCCTGGAAGGAAAAGCCACCACCCCGGCAGAGGACAGGACGCTGGCAGCCCTATCCCTGGCATGGGTCTGCACCCCAGGCAACAGACAGCCCACGCGGACAAGGGGCACCTGGGAGTGATCGCAAGGAGCCCACAGCCCCATGCCACAGCGCCTGCCCACCTGTCACCTCTGCACACACCTGCCTTCTCCTTGTCGTCTCCCATCTGCTGGCATGAGCTCGAGGCCTCACCCTTGCCCTGTCCCTGGGAGCCCCAGAGAGGTCTGCTGAAGGGAAATCCTGCTGAAAGAGATGCTGTGCTCAGTTGTGGAACCCCCAGGCCACACAGCAGGAGACAACCCCCCCAAACAAAGAGGCAGAAATGGGGAGGCAGCTCTGCAAACATGGAGTAGAAAGACACAAGCTAAATTTAAAAAAAGAAAAGAAAAGAAAGACACAAGCTGAAAACTCGCGTGGGGTCCGGAGTCCAACCCTCGGTAGGCAGCACACTGTAGGGGAACTGCCTGACTTACTCTCCTCAGGGCTGAGGTGGGCTCCACCTCATTTCCCTGAATGAGCCCCAGAAGCAAAAGGAGAGGGGCCAGGTGAGGTAAGCTGCTGATAACCCCCTTTGTCACACAGGCCCCCAGCTGCCGGCCCAGCAATGTCTCCAGGCCCGAAGCTCTCTAGACCAGGGGCAAGAAGGGCTCCTGGGGGAGGGACAGTGGTGGACCGAAGCCCAGGGGGAGGGCCCGGGAGAAGAGGCCAGGGGTGCCGACAGCCCAGAAGTCAGGGACCAGCAGCCCCCTGGCCAAGTCCCCGGGGGGCAAGGGCCTGGGGCTTCTGGTCAAGTCAGAGAGCAGAGGGGCCAGCCTCCACACCCCTATCCACACTGTGCAGGAAGAGAGCAGTGTGTGGGACCCACTCCCGGGTTTCAGGCACTTGTGAGGCTGGCCGTGGGGCTGCAGATGGGTGCTGAGTTCCCTCTGATCTCCCAGGACTTGCCTGGGCCTGCCGCTCCGGGCCGTAAGGAGTGCTACGATGGGCGGTGAGCAAAGCCAAGATAATTAAAGGCGTGAGCTGCCCTGACTCTGAAGCCTACCGCCAAGGTCGGGGTGGAACCACCAGGCCCCTGGCTCCCCTAGACCAGCAAGTGTGCCCCTGGTAGGTACTGACAGACAGACAGACTGGACAGATGACTGAATGGCAATGAAGGAATGAGCACCAGAAGCTCCCCTCAATTCTGCCAACAAAAACAGGGTCTGAAATGGAGGAGTTGGGGTGCTGGGACTTGATATACCATGAGAAACAATGAGGGACCCAAGGCCCCTCTGAAGACAGGACAGGCCCCTCGGGCTGGATGTGACAGCTCAGGGTCTGGGGGCCTGGAGAGATGAACTGGCACCAGGACCCCCCCTCCCCCCGGCAGAAAGCCCCGATAGGCAGCCAAGCTCTCCATACACACACCTCTCAGGTGGGGCTTGGAGGAGCAGGACGGTGGCAGGAGCAGCCCAACACCGCAGAAGGACCAGGCAGCAGAAGCTCAAGGCCGGCACTGCCCGGTGCAGCGGCCGCTCACCACAAGGGGCTACGGCAATTCAAACTCGACCGGTTAAAAGGAAATCAAGGATCAGCCCAGGCGCTCCTGCCACATTTCCGGTGATGAGCAGCCACATGTGGCTCGTGGTCTCCAGGTCAGCACGGAGCACGTGTCTTTCACCAGGGAGAACAGAGCAGCCCATGTGGATGCTGAGAAGCTTAAGCCCGAGGTGGGGGGAAGAGGGGGTGGCAGGATGGCCCCACCTCTGGCATCGGGCCTCAGAAGTGGCCACCCCAGCACAAGCTCGGGCCCTTACCCAGGGACAGTCCGTTCCTCTTCTGCAGGACGTCCCTGTAGAAGCTTTGCTGGGCGTGGTCCAGCCGACCCCACTCCTCCCTGGAGAGGTACAGAGCCACATCCTCAAAAGTCACCGGCATCTGCAACACAAAATGCCCACTCTCCAGGGCATGCCGGGACACCATGGGGGTGGGGGGAAAATGGCTCCAAGATGAGGGCGGCCCCCGCCCCCGGCCCCCAGCCCACTGCCCCAAGCAAGGCCTGTGCTAGCATCTGATGGTGAAGCAGGACAGCTGCCCAAGGGGGGCTTTTTTTTTTTTCGGTGGGGGAGGGGTGTAAAAAACAAAGCAGTTGTGTACCACAGACAATAAGACACAAAGAAAAGGCCCTTTCTGGCACCACAGCCAAAGCTCAGGATGTCCAGGTACGCCCGTCCTCCAGCCCCCAGATCCAGACAACAAGGCCCCATCTGAGACGCCACTCCTTCATGTCCTTGTGCTCTCCGTCCAGCCGTGCACCTGATCAGGGACACTGACCTGGGACCAGGCGGTGAGCAGCGCCGCAGCCATCTGGCGGTCTCTGGTCCGCCCCTCGCGAGTGAGCACGGGGATCTGGGGGGAGGGGAGGGCTGAGAGAGCAGAGAGGTCCTCAGGGCGGCCACCTCACCCTGCTGGGCCCCACTGCTGCCCCTGAGCAGACCCCAGGGGACACCACAGCTGCCTCCAAATCCACCCCAACCCGACCCAAGAAGAGGGTCAGCAGGCTCTGAGGCAGTGCAGGAGCGGCCTCTGAGGGGCAGGTGGGCAGACATCCGGGCATCTCCATGGCAGGAGAGCTCATGCCCTGCCGCCTTGTGCTATGAGCCTCCACCTCCCCCCACAGCTGCCACCCACAAAGAGCCTCCCTCCACATCCTTCTCCATTCCTGTCCTCACCTCCACCAGGCAGGAAAAGAGCCTTCTCCTTAGAGCCCTGGCTTAGGGACACCCAGCTTGGCGTTCCCAGAGCCCCATCCCCCTGCCATGCCCCCTCGGGGTGTGGTTCTTCTGGCTCCATCTTGATGTGCGGTGACTCCCGAGTGGCTCCCAAAGGCACCATCTCCTCCGACTCAGAAAGCATTTCTGGACAAGGATGCCCATGGCCTGGAACCTAGGAACGACAGTCCCCATCAGCACCTGGGCAGAGAACAGGAGACCCAGCCGAGCTCCGCACCTGAGGGTCCTGGCAGGGGCCACACACACCCAGATCCAAGGCATAGCCTGAAGAGCAGCCCTTGCTTCCTTCTGCTGGCCCTGGGGACCCACACATCTCTGGTTTACCGGCACAAGGCCGTGGCAGCCAGGGAACCAAGGAAGGCTCGAGGTCGGGCGAGGGGCAGATGCCTCTTCTTGGTTCCAGCCTCGTGCCTCCCACAGCAGCATGGCCTGTTCCTGTTTAACACTGAGGAAACCTAGTGCAGTGGATTGAGTGTGTCCCCCCAGATTTCATGTTGCTCGGAACTTCAGAACATGACCTTATTTGGAATAAAGTTCTTCGCTGATGTAATTAGTTAAGATCTTGAGAGGAAATCATCCCGCATTTAGACTGGGTCCTAAATCCAATGACTGGTGTTCTGATAAGAGGAAAAGACATGGAAACACAGAGAAAGCCACATATATATGGAGGCAGAGCTGGGGGACAGAAGCAGCGGGACACCTGGAGCAGCCAGACCCTGAGAGGCAGAAGGAGCCTCCTCCTCGAGGCTGGGAAGGGAGCCCCGCCAACACTGCGACCCCGGCCTCTCAAACTGAGGGAATAAATGCTGGTTGTTACACAGACACAGGACACTGTGATCCCGGCTCAGAGGTCAGACAACGGCCCAAGGTCAGAGAGCCCATTAGGGCTTGGCGGGAAGCGGAACTCAAGGGTAGTCGACTCACAAGTCAACGCCAGAGCCACCATTTCTTGGAGATGACAGGGAGGTATCGTGTAGCCTTGGGCCATTTCCAGCCTGACTCAATGTGGAGTTTTGGGCTTTGGAGAAAAAGGCCCAAGGGTACCACTAACTGTGCCAAGGCCTGGGCCCACCTCGGTCCGACAGAGGGAAAACCTCCCAGCTCACCCCTTCAGCACCACCCACCGCAATGGCACTTCCAGCATCCCCCCCACTTCACACCAGCCCCAGCTCCAGCCCCTGGGATGGGGAGGAAGAGCCTTTGGAGTCAGGCAACCAGGGCTCAAATCCAGGCCGGCCCCTCGTTAGCTGCTCAGCCCCGAGGAGGCACCACAAACCTCGAGAGTTTGGGGAAAGTCACTTCTTTTGCATTGGGAGGCACCCGGTGAGGCCTCACTGGCCTCCGCAGCGCAGGGACCGGCCAGGCTTCTCCCTGTGCCACCCCACCTCCGTCTATGTTAGGGTTTCAAAGAGAAAGACCCTCAGGCCAGGGAGCTACCTGGGCCAGGCAGCCTCCGAGACTCAGCTGCTCTGCCTCATGCACAGATTAACCCGTGAGAAAGAGCTGTGCACTCTGGAACATTCTGGATAAACACAGAGTGGAGCCAATAATTATTAGTACTCCTCTCCTGTGTGAGCTGACGGACTCCAACAGCGGCAGAGAACGTCAGGGACGCATGAGGCCCACTGGGTGTTACAAAGGCACCGTGGAAGCGAAAGCAAACAGTGCAGGGGCTCCTTTGTGCTTCTGTGGTACAAAAATGGAACAACCAATACAGACGGTCCCTGGCTTACAACGGCTCAACTTAACCAGTTTTCGACCTGACGACGGTACAAAAGGGATATCCATTCCACAGAAACCATACTTCGGATTTTGAATTTGTATCCTCTGCTGGGCTAGTGATCCACAGCTCGGTCGTCCCTGGGGACAGAGGCGGCAGGAGCCGAAGCTGCCGGTCAGCCACGCAGTCACGAGGGGAAATGACCCACAAACTGTGTTTCTCTTTCACTACAGTCATACTCACCACTTCATTATGGAAGAAGCTTTGCAGGAGGCGATTTTGCCTGACTATGGGTGATGTTACGTGTTTTGAGCACATCTGAGGGAGGGAGATTAGGCCATGATGCTCAGAAGGTTATTGTGTTAAAATACATTTTCAACTTCTGATACTTACAATGGGTTTATCGGGATGTAACCACGTCGCAAGTCAAGCAAGATCCACACTCGATTTGTATTTGAATCTACAACCCCTGGAAATGTGAGTTGAGGTGTTAAAGGTTTCTCTGACCTAGGTACTAGTTGCTGTGGATGTTTCTATTTTCTGTATTACATGAATTACCACCTCAGAGCCCCCCAACCGCCTGGAATAGCCTGTGGGAACAGCAGGCACATGACAGATGTTTTACAGATGACACACCTGGTTCCCAGAGGCAGGGGACTTGCCCAAGGTCACACACCTGGCCGCAGGTGACTCATGTTCCTTTGATTCCAAGCCCAATGGCCCTGGTTGTCCCCTGCCCCCACCGCCACCGCAGGTTATAATTACCCACGTGGGCAACAGGTACATGAAGGACTAGGTGCTTAGATCCAGACAGAGTGGAGATGGGGTCTAAAGCAGAAGGGAGGGTAAACTGAGGCTTCCCTGCGTGCTCTGGACACCGTTCAGAGAGGAACCCCACCAGGAGGATGCCCCATGCAGCCTCCTTGCTATTTCGTATGGCCTTTGGCCGAATGACAACTGAACTCACCAGGCAAAGCAGAGAAGCTTGGTGGCTGTCGATTCCACCTTTTCCACCTCCCATCACCCCCATCCACCAGCCCTGTACCCCGGTGAGCCTAACTCTTCCACTGGTCTAGATACCTTGCCTTGAAAGTCCACTCCTGCTCCCGGTCCTTCCAGGGCACGCGCATCCCTTACCCAGCACTCCATCCATACCTCTCGGGCTCTCTCCTTGTCCTGGGCAGACCGGGTGCCTCCGCCGTCTGCAGACATTTCTATCTCAGAGGTAGGAAGCACAGCTGAGTCGTTGGCCAACCCCTGCCAGCTCTGGCCAGGAGCCTGGAAGAGCAGGAAGAAGTCAGCCAGCGTCTCCCGGGCACCTCTGAAGCAGTGTGAAAATCCCCCAAGCAGGACCAGACCCCCCGTGGTCCCAATCAGAAATAAACCTTCCAGCTGCCTTCCAGTGACCTCACTCCCTAGGATGGGTTTTGGTCCCTAGCTTAACAGAATGCCACTCTGTATCGTCCCCTTTGTCACTTAAGCCAGAACTCTGCGTCTCTGAGCAGCCCAGTTGGGAAAGTCAGGGCTGACTCGGTGTGTCTCTCCTGCCATCAGGAGCCGAAAGGACTGCAGTGATCCTATAAACAGGTGCTGGGCGTGGCCACACCCGTCACAGCCAGCTCCGCGGGAGAATCAAGGCCCCACCGTCTCCCAGGCCCCGGACACACACACCCCACGCTTGACCTGATTCGCTCCTGGGATGCAGAAACTGAGCAGCCCGAAACTGCAACCACCCGCCAAGTCCATCCTCCTCACGGGCCTGGATGGACCATATCCTTCCCCTTCCCGAACCTGGGTCCAGGCCCCCTTTTCTCCCCACCAGCCTGAAGCCTTCCACCTCTGACCCCGTCCCCTCCTGCCCCCAGCTGACCACCCACAAGGATCTCGGGATCCAGGCACCCTCCCCGGCGCCCCTCTCACCCAGGCGGAGGCGGAGGGGGCACCTCAGGCGGTGGGGGGCCCCCCCTCCCCCGGGAAGGGAGACTCCACAGCCTGCAGCGGGCCGGGAGCCGGGTGGAGACTGGGATTAGGGACAACAGGAAGTCCCTCCCAGATCCCGTTCCCCATGCAGCTGCAGCCCTACAGGGTTCCTGGCTTCGAGGGTTCCGGGTCTGGGGTTCTGAGCGTGGCTGCACCTGATCTCAGCTGGGAGGTGAACCCTAAATCCTCACTGCCCGCTCACGATTGCTTTACCTGGCGTGCACTTGTGAAACCAGCAAAGCAGGGAGGCCAGAACGGGGAAATACATTCTGTGGAAGATTGTGACATTTGACGTTTCAAAGAAGGCACTGCAGCTGTTCTCACAGAAGGAAGGACACTCTCCTGGCGAGAGGGGCACGATGGTCCTCTTCGATACACAGGGTTTCTGGAGGTCTTGTGGTGTCTCCATGGAGATGTTCCCGGATTTCACCTAAGGCCCCAAGGCCAGTGAGCAGGTCCTCTGGGCTCTCCCTGAGACTGGCATGGAGTTCTGTCTCCGTCAGAGCAAACTTAGTAAACAGGCCTGGGAACCTACCCTCAGCCCCATGCCCCACACCCTGAGGCCCTACCCTCACCCCCGTGCCCCCACCTTGAAATGATGTTGGACCAATGTGATTCCTCTAGACCTCCCCTCCCCACCTCCATCTCCAGGCTGGGGAGTGTAACAGGGGTAATGGGGTCTGACCCAGCCATCCACAGGCTCCCAGACTCCAACTCTCAGTCTTGGCTTTCCCTTCGGACCCTGAGAGCCAAGGCTCCCAAAATGGAGGATCAGAGACTACTTCACTTCTAGGGTGAAGAACTCATCTCCCCCCTGAGCAGGGCACAGGGGATGGGTGTCAGGAGAAGGGGGGGCCAGCTCCGGAGTCAGATTCCAGGAACCTCCCTATAACCATGGCCTCCTGCGTGTCAGAGTCTTCTGACACGCATCCATTTCACCCCATGAGGCAGGCCCTGTGCTGGCTACAGGTGTGCTATGTGGGCCCACAGGGGTTTGATTTCTTTAAAACTTAGTTTCCAACATTTAACAATTAGTAAATTTCTCATAAAATCGATTTTCTTGAAAAATCAGAACATCGGGCAACCCCGGGCTCATATTCCTCACATTCGGGGGCCGTTCTCATGTAGCTGTACGTGGTCCCCACTTGCTCCTGTAGCATTTTGAACTCTGATCTAGCCTTCTGTCACTTTGATGAACAAAAAATATCAGCCTTGGGGTCTGGTCGGTATTTCCAGGCGTTTTAATCCTCAAGGCAAAGAGGAATGTCCAAAGTTGTAGCCAAAGTCAATATCACTGTCAAGCCAGAGAGCTATAAACTGAGAAGTCACAAGGGGGGGCTGTAAAAAAAGATCGACAACTCAGTCCGTGACTGTTTCTCCATCAACATGGACCGTGACCAGTGTCCAGAGTAAGGGGACTCACTCCTGAGGTGACCCATTTCAGCCCACATCAGCTCCAGGCGTGCACCAAGTCCCAACACAGTGGGTGTGTCCTGATTCACGGGCAAACATTTCTCTACCAGACAAAAGGGATGCTGGGGAAGCCCAGCAGTTTGGATCCCACCAGGAGAACACGTAAACTAAACCAAATGAAGTCTCAACATTTATTTAAGTGTTCAGAAAATATGTATTAAGCACTTACTATATGACAGACATTAGCCCATTCTTGGAGATGAGACATTAGCTCCATTTACTATATGTCTGTCACTTACTATATGACAGACATTAGCTCCATTCTTGGAGATGAGAGGAAACACCTCTAGGGCTGGCTCTAGGACTGGGCAGGTCTAGGAGAAAATGTCCACATTTGCTGTGTGGGAACTGCACAGCAGTCCCTAAAAGACTGCAGAAAGGCACCAGGGAAAGCAGAGATCAAAAACCTAAATGCTTCGAACAAGCGGGCAGCACCACAAATGACCGGTGGCTTGGGTGCAAGATGGTAGTAGGGGAGGGGCTGCAGAGCCCTCAAGAAATCATATTTTGTTCAAAGGGGACAGATGCCAAAGCTTGAGAATTTTTCAAGAGAAGCCAAAGAAGAAGAAGGAGAAGAATTATTAGATTGATGTGAAATGTTGATGATTCAAATAAAAAATTTAAGAACTCCATACAACTCCAGCAGAAAACACCTACTGTCTAGCTCCTGGGACACCAGGGACGTACTCACCTCCAGAGCCTGCCACGAGGATAACTATAGGATAACTATATCATGGATGGAGACGCTTATCTGAGCTTTGGACCAGCAAACACTCCCGCATCTGGCGGCTTCACTGAGCTTAGGAAGAGGTCACCTTCAGTAAATAAATCATGGGATCTACCTTCAGAGATTAGCCTGAGAACTGACTCCGGCCTCACAAAAACGCTCAGAATAATGAAAACTAGAAAAAGGAATCATCTGAAGCAAGAAGGGAAAAAAATGTTTGAAAAAGTAAAGGGAGGAGAGCGTGTAGTCATGAAGGCTGTTCAGCCAGGCTGGAGACGGGGAAATGCAGACCTCTCTGCAGCCTTAGGGAGGACAGGCGGTAAGGGGAAATAAAGGAACGTGAGAGAGGCCAAGGAAAAACAGGAATAATCGAGGAAACACAGAGCAAACGTTAAGCACGGAAAAAGAAAAGGAGAGCGGATAGGTGGGGAAATCCCATAGGTGGGGCCCCAGGAATACAAATTTTTTTGAAGAAAATAACTAAGAACGCCCAGGGCCACGGAGACCAGTGCGTGGGCACCCCCGCGGCCAGCAGCAAGCCCGAGGCCCGGTGGCCTGACGCCGGGCGGCGGCACCAGCCAGCGTTCCCCGCCTCTTGCAGCCCTAGCCCGCGGAACACAGACGCCGGAGCGCGTCGCCCAGGCAACGCCGCCGCCCCGCCCACGAGCCCACGCGCGCCACGGTGATTGGCTGACGCCCGACGGCCCGGCCTGTGCGCGCGTCCTGCGCGCTCCCGTCCGCGCCCCCGAGGGACAGCCGCGCGGAGGGTGGAGGTTAACGCCGGTGTCTCCTGCCCCTGGCCGGTGTGCCCGCGTTTCCCGTCCGGCTGCCCCATCTCAACTTCCGGCTTCCCGGCGCTCTCGCGGCGCCGCCTTGTGGGCATCGTGCGCGGGGACAGCCCGGGCGATGAGGACCGCGGGGCGGACAGCCAGGAGCCCCGGAGTCGGCGTCTGGCGTGGGGAAACTGAGGCTGTCTGCATGAGGGCCCGGCGCCCCGTCTGGCCCCCGACACTCACCTGTTCTGAATTTTGTTTCAAAAACGGGAGTGAAGGAAGCATCCGCTGCCGCCCTGCCCCCTCTATGGCACATTCCTTGTTCAAGATAAAAACAGACAGAGGGAAAGTAAGGTGTTGGGTCAAAACCAAACCACCAGACATTAGTCGAAGCAGGGAAAGCAGGCTTTATTCAGTAACTGCTGACAGCCGGGGAAAGAGCTGAGCTCCGACTGGTCTGTGCAGAGGGGGCTGGGGTTTTAAAGGGAGAAGGGAGGGGAGAGAGCAGGGCCCACTGGAGTCACGGTCAGGAAGGCCACGAGGCTCCTTCCCAGGCAGCAACACCAAGGGCTTCCTTCCATGATCGTCAAGGCCGGTGGCTTCAGCTTCTGCCTCGGCCAGGCAAGCTGTGGACTCCAAGGCCAGAACCACCCCCACCCCCACCCCAGCCCGGGTCAAATGTAATAGGGTAGACTGGAAATGTTCCTGGATCACCCACATCCCAACTTGCAGAACACTGGCTTGATCTGGGAGCTAGACAGCGAACAGTACAGGCAGGGAGGGGACACGCTAGTGAAACTAGGCTAAGAACTCAAGACTCACTCCGGCCGGTCCTTTGGTGTGGAAATAAGTTACTTTTTCGTTAGAGACTGGTCCATTTTTAGGAAACCAGAACAGTGTCATCACCCCAAAATACCTTCGTTGGTGTGGCCACCTCCTATGATCTCATCCCTAAAGTGTCCCCCAGTCTCGGCAGTTTTAGGTTACGTTCACACATGTAAGCCTAAGACACTGAGGCAGATGGGGATGGAGGTCTCATCCTGCCTGGCTCAGCACCAGAGGACCCTTACCAGAGGCCCCTCATGGGAGCAAAGGGCAGTGGCACCCCAGCACCCACCTTTGGTGGCCTTTATGGCTGATATTTACAAGCCCTTTGTCCTGCCGCAGTCTCCCTCCCCCACTCCCCAGCCCTCAGACTCCCTCTACATGTCTTGTGGTCTCTCGCGCACAATCTTTTATATTCATACTTCATT